CCTGCCAGGCATCGGCCTGGCGTCGTATTAACATAGCATGTTAGCTCTGGGTGAGCGTCCAACATGCTCGGGTCAAAATCTCCAAAAAGAATGCGCTCTCTTAGCAGTAAAAAAGTCGTATGTTCTCTGCCCTTTTATGACAGTTCTGTGTGCATAGTGTGTCCATAGCAGGCAGTTCAGTCCCAATGATCCTCTCTGCAGTCTTTATGACCCTTTGAAGAGCCTTTGAAGAGTCATTTTGGCAGCTGTGTTCAGTGACCAGCTCAGGTCAGATGTCACCTGCAGGCCCAGAACTTGTGGCTGTCAGCCTTCTCCACCTCAGTCCCTTTGATGGTCAGAATCAGCAGAGGGGAGGGGTTCTTCCTGAAGTCTACTATTATTTCTTTTGTCTTGTTTATGCTGAGGATGAGGTCATTCTCCTCTCCATAAACAAGAATGTCATTCACCAAGCTTCTGTAACCCGACTCGTCTCCCCCCTTGATGATGCCCAGAATGGTGGTGTCATCAGCATATTTAATGATGATGGTGTTGTTATGGTTGGAGACACAGTCGTGGGTGTACAGCATGAAGAGTTTGGGCCTGAGACAGCAGCCCTGCGGTGAGCCTGTGCTGACTGTAGTTGAATGCAGAACTGTAGTCCAGGAAGAGCATCCTAGCATATGTTCTGCAACCCTATTCAAGAATAAGTGGTGTAGATAATGGATGGATGACCACAAAGGGCAAGAAATAAACACAAGGCCTGAATGCAGAGTTGGGTGGGGGTTTAGTACAGAAGGGAGACACTTCTAGATAATATTTTACTTGATTTAGTCATATTTGTGCTAAATCTTAATGCAACTTTAAGACCATCCGTTGCTCATGCTGCAACATACAGCAGTAAAGTGACTTTATCATGTAATAATGGAAATAAACGACAATTCATTTTACATCCAGCATTAATTCATTAAATCACCATTAGTTTAACATTACTGAAGAATGTGTTTTGCACTTTAATTATAGGCCACAGTGTTGCAGTTAGTTTAGTTACTTTCAAATACATACAAAAGCTCACTTCAACCATTGTATATATTACAAAAAGAGCGATAAGAATTGTGCATAAGATGGGGTATAGGGATCACACCAATGTAGCTTTCATACAGTCTACAGTAAATTGTTAAAATTTTTTTGATTTAGTGGGATATAAGACTGCTGTGTTTATGTTAGAATTGATGAGTTTAAACATAAATATAAAGGTATGTGTCAATCAAGATATATGCAAGAACAGGCTTAATGATTAATTAGATGGAACATTGTGGGTGTGGTGTATGAATGTTAACACTCTGTTATAATTCTTTAGTATATTACTTGTGTGGTGTAGAAGATAATTATTTAAGAATGTAATTATGTAAGAATGTTAACACTCTGTTATAATTTTTTAGTATATTACTTGTGTGGTGTAGAAGAGAATTATCTATGTAGAGATATGGTAAGATGATGTCAGGGGGTAGGACTGGATAAGTCTGACTTCTTCCTACTCCATTCAAGTATGTACTAGGTATAAGCAAATTGATATTAGATTAGCATTTGTTGGATATGTGTAAAATTATGTGTGTTGATATATCAACTGTCTTTAGATGCTTGAAAGAATAAATAAATCAAATCAAATCAAATCAAAGTTAAGGTCCATTTTCATAAAGTGTTCATGTTAATCCTGGCCCACTGCTTCATCCCTATGGCAACAGCCATTTCAGTCACTGTCGCTCAGTTTTCTTTGTGATGGAGGAAGCTGCCATAATAGAGGCAGCCCCCCGTAGCTTGCTCAGGGCTTCACAATAAATCCTGTTAAGGCCAAATAAGCCTTGTTCAACACAGCGGTAGTTGCCTTTAAAATAATCCGACGTAACGTGACGCAAACGATTCTATGCATCCATATACTCTTGTGTGTCCCCTCACGCGGCGGCAGCCATCGAGCGCAGCGCACATCCTGCATCCCCCTGGTCCAGCCCCCCTGCCCTCTCCTCTCCTCCTCTCCTGTGGCGTGAACCTGCATCACCGCTCCATCCAGCGGAGCTGTTGGACGAACCGGAGGGAAACCATAAAAACCAAGGCGATGGAAATGGACTAACATCATACCTTGAAAGGGGGAGCAGGTAGGCCGCAGCTCATCATTAAAACCATCGTCGCGACAGAGCAGTTGTTTTGCGGGGCATGCGTCAGTGGAGTGGGGAGTGTAGCGTGCATCAAGGAAAATAATGTGTGAATGGAGTAACCTTGCAGGAAATGTGTGGAGCTTGGCGTTTGGAGTCATGTGTAGTCTGCAGGGCTCCGACTATTTCATGCTGTGTCTGTTTATTTTGGTGCAGCTGATGGAGGGATGATGCGCACTGCGCTCCGGCAGATGTTTGCGCATCTTGTCATCCTGTGCGCCTGTGTTTGAGCGTTGAACTCCCCGGGGCCTCTGGGCGTCAGAGGCATGTTTACCGGTGACAGTGTCATAACAGACTGGATGCTTAATCGTACTTTTCTTGGTGAATAGAAACATTTCTGACTGCGTTCCTAGCTCTGCATGGACAAACAGCTCACTGTGTCTTAGACCCAAGTAAGTGCCATCCATGTTTGCAGGCAGCAATGTCGTGACAGGTTGCCTGGCGCTGCTGTTTGACCTTGCAGCATTTCTGTTATTCACGTTTGCACTTCTTGCCTGACACATAACGAAATCAAGGCGTTTTATAGCGCTTTCAAATGGTGCGATGAATCAAAGGTTTATTCCGTTTCATCGAGGCTGCATGGAGTTAGCTCAGTGTTCCGTGAATTTACTACCGTTTTTCCCCCACGTCCTAAGATAAAAGGTTAGAAGCCTGTGGCTTAATGCATCATTACAGGAAACAGTCTGAAATGAAAGAATATAATGTTTGGCTGATGAGTCTTCCTGAGTAACCTTGACACCAAAACAACTAATAGTAACTTCTGTGCCCACAAATGGTTAACTCCTGCAAGAATTAAGCATTTGGAGACCACAAAGTGCACTACATACAGGCAGACTCTCTTAAATGAATACAGACTTTACTAGCTGGATGTAGAGACAATGGGCTCAAGGGCACAGACAGAAGGAGATGCTGGTGGTCATTTTGTCTATTTATGTCAAGTAGAGTGTTATTGATGCACTATAGCCTAATGTCACAAATCACAATTTTGCCTCAAGGGGAATGTTTGAGCCTTGTTGCTGTTTCATTTTGTCTCACTGTGGTTGTTTTGTCACTCAGCATTGTTGTTACAGCTTCTGTAGTTTTGCATCTTTTTGTTGCTGTTTTGTGTCTCTCTGTAAATGTTCTGTGCGTCTGTGAGGTCAGTTTGTCTCTTTGTGGTGATTTCCTACAACAGTAAGTTCAAGTAGACTCTGGCCCGGGGACCCAAAACATGAGCCTATATACCGGCTGCACAGTGTCTGAAATACAGTGGTGAAGAAATGGCTTGACTACAGACAAAGAGCTCTGTCTTGTTTCCTGTCCGTTGCTGCAGGTCACTTTTGGCCTTTGCAGCATGGCCCTGTGCTGTCTCAGCCAGTGGCAGCTCTCTTTCTACTCACATTCCTCAAGAGTGGTGGACTGACTGTCACCATGGTGACTTGGCAGTCATTTTCGCAGCATGGCACTTGTTCAGATTCACCCATGATGGAAAAGTCTCTATTTCAGCCATTTTTTCCCTGACCATCATAACCTAAACAGAATTACTGACCCTTACAAGTGCAGCTCATGCACTTGACAAGACAGAAAAGTTATGGGTCCATCTGTGTTTTCAAAGATGACTTCCCAGAACATGTCTAAACAAACAACCTGTAAATACAACACTGACATGTTTTATGTTACTATAGGAGCTTTAAGAAATGACCATTTAATGTGAAAGGAGTCACTTAGTTGTTTTTGAGTTCATTGTTGTGGGTTTTGCATTCTGCAACTTTTCTGTTTTGATTAAGCCTTAACATTAGCCCCATTTCCAGCTGTTTTCAGAAAAAAAACTTTGATAAACCCACTGTACAAATACCAAACCAGCCCCACTATGCCACAGCCAAAGTGTGTGGCCAACTAGTAAACCCAGGTGTTGATGGAGACCAAAACAGAGCTAACAGATTAGCCATCTGTTTGTCCAGTGGCCAGATCTGTGACTTCAGATGCTGACATTGCTCCATGTCAGGTGGGTGTGTAGGCAGGCAGGCAGGCAGCTGTTTTCTAATATCTTTGCTATATCATAACAAGGATATAGTACTGCCTTTCACATAAAGATAAGGACTGTCTCCTCCCACATGCCATTAACGTGATTGTGAATATTGATTTCCCTTTTTTAATCAGTGCTCCTTGTCTCTTTCCATTGAGGAAAATAGTTCACACAGACTAATGGTATGAGCACTAGGTTGAAGTGCTCTGTCATGCTCTTAATTGCTGTTTCTTGATTTACAAATATTAAACCCTTGGTGGAAGGTATTTTGAGCTTTTGGCCTGATTAAGTGCAAATCTGAGGTTCCCAGTTGTTTCAGCTGAGAGAGTTGTGTCAAGTGCCTTAGAAGTTAAACTAAGGCCATGTGCACTTTATTCAGCACTTGCAGCCAAATGAGGACTTGTCAAAATCCAGTGAGACTGTGGTGTAAAATGTCTGGAAAAAAAAACCTTTGCTGGATTTTATCTCAGGCCAATAAGCAGAAAAACATCTGGTTGTTTGCTTAAAATTTAGGACAGTTTGCTGATTTCCTTTTCCCTTTCTGTGTTAAGTGTTGTGTTGATTGATAGCTCAGTAAAAATTGCACTGTAGCTTTATTGCTGGGGTCTGCTAGATCTTAGCCAAGCTAATCTGCATCAGCTGCAGGAGAAGGGTGACTCTGCAACATCCTTGCACAGGATCTGGCTAGACTGCGAAAACGACAAGTCATTGTTGGAGCTCTGTACTGAGCATGTTTCGACCTGCCGTTACAGGGGAAAGATGTGATGAATGCATGAGTGATGTGCCTGCTTGACTCTTGTCCAGCTATACTCTGCTTCATACTAATGCACTTTTCATTCTTAGAGTACGTGCATGCCCACGGAGCACTAGGCCTGAAGGGGAAAGTAAAGCCACTAATCATATTGCTGTTTTGTCTCTTATGGTTTGTTTTCCATTACAAGCACAGCCACTTAGCCACTGTAAAAGCCACCAGACTAATTGACATTCCACATTTCAAATAAAAGTGTTGTGACCATTGACTGTATAAATGTGGACAGCACGTCACCATTGCACTCCATTATGCTTAAAGGTGAAGCCAAAATATCGTTAATACAGCAGCTGCCATCTTGGCATTCTGTAGCCACATTCTGTGCAGTAGTGTTTGAGTGACGTATCAGGCTGCCAATCAAAGCTGTCAAATCATCTAAAATAATATCATTTTATATCATCAAATAACATCACTAACAAACTTCCCAGAAAAATGAATGAATGTACACACGTCAGCGTTGTAATATCTACCTAAAACCACAGACATCACCTCTGGGGAAAATTTTATTTGATGTATGCTTTGAGCTTTTGGTTTGGCTCATGTCCTATCCACTAACATGGAGGAGGCATGAGTTATGACCTATACTGCAACCAGCCACCAGGGGGACCAAGTCACTGTGGCTTCACCTCTGGGAGCTGTCAGGTCGTCCATATTTTATACACTCTATGGTTGTGACTAAATGGGCAACAGGAGTTCAGATACTACAGTCAGCTCTGCTTTTATAGTCCTAACAGGGGCCAGGACTATAGACGCACAGACCACATGGCAGACTAAACACTGGTCCTGTGATGCAGTGTGTGGGAGGCAGCAGTGAAAAGCCATGGGGTGTGGAGCAGATGACTGGAAGTTAAGCAGACTACATTTGCAAAACCAGCCAGTTTGTCCTCCTGATTGGCCTTTCTCGTGTAAAACTAAAACATACCTTTGTGTTAATTATCCAAGTGTGCTTGAGTGTGTGGAATGGGCTTAGTGTTGTCCCATGTGGCCAGTAAGAAAAAAAACACCCACTAAACTGTGGCTCACAACAGCTGCAGGACCAGCGGGTGTCTTCCAGCCTCAATGGGCTGTAAGGACCTCATTCTAGTTTGGTGGACTACAGTGAGGCTAATGAGATGGCATACTCAAAAACCTGCTTGGACAAGTAACGGCCCCTTAAGTGTTGTCAGACACTGTGTATTGGTTTGACAAGGTTGGTTTGGCAAAAGCACATCTGGTTAACTTCTGATTAAAAAGCAGCACACAGCATCTTTCCTAAGCTTTTTAATGGTAAGCATGGGACTGTCTCCCACTCAGTGGATGAGATTGTCCCAGAAGGGCTAGTTAGTCAGTAGCAGGTGTCAAATCAAATCACTCATAGCTGACTGGCTGCTAGCCAGGAAGCAGCAGCCTGAGCCTCTTCCTCTTCTACCACTTGTGGAGATGTTGGAAGGTTGCAAGGAGTGCCTCAAAAACTCAAGACCAGAGACCATTCACATGATTAATCTGATATTCTGGGTAGATCTGATATTTAGTACTCTGCAAGAGCACACTTTAGTGTTTCACAAGTGCCTAAAACATTTGCACTGCACTGTAACCAATCTGACACCAAGCTCTTCTGGGCTGTGTGTTACTTGACTGTGAATTATAGATTAATCATTCTGGTTGGTAGAGTTGAAAGTAAAAAGTAGTCTTCAGGGTGATGTCAGTTAGACACCATGAGTGGTTCCAGTGAAGGAGCCTGATGAAGCGCAAATTATATCAGTGTCAGTCTGATGATATATTTATAAGAGACTGATTCTGCAGTCACTTTATCAAATGATGAAAAGCTTTTGGACACCAAAGAACTTTTCCACAGGCCACAATAAGACATGTCACAGTAGTTAAAGTACAGGACTAAATAGTAAAATGAATGATGGCTGAATTCTATTTCAGCGTACCACAAACATGTGCATGCTTCCTCGCTGTCACCGTAGAACGATTTGCAGCCACCAGTTATTGTGTGCATTTTCAATTTGCACTTTAAAAAATTGTGTGAAAGTGCTGCTGGAAATTGATAAAGTTTGAATGAATGGCACTCTTTCAATCAAAGCATAACATGTCAAAGCATGTGCATAACAGCAGTGGATGGAAACACATTTGTTTGCGTTTTGTTTTGCCAATTTAGCGCAAAATTCAATTAAAGGTTGAGTTGCATTTGGGTAGAAACCCACTTACTGTCATGGCTTACTGTGACACTTGAGTCATCATTAATGTTATTAATAAAACCTTTGTCAAAGTGCCTGCTATGAAAAATACTATCACCATCAGCATTAATCCAGTAGTGATGCACCTTACTAGACTATACATTTTCCAAATTTTGCATAATGCATTTGGTCTAGTGTGTTTCATAGTTTTCTTATGTTGTTGAATAGAAGTAAGAAAATCCCATAATCACATACAGTAGTTGCAGCTTTTATGCGCAAAACATAGTGACCTCAGGGTTTAAGATGAAGAGTTTGCAGACCACAGGAGCAAAACCTGCATGAACTGACAAGCACAAACATTTAGTGTTATTACAGCAAGGCGCTGATGGTTTTCCAGTTGTTTAAATGATCTAATTTCACCTAAAACTAGGTCCTTTAAAAAATTAGTTTGAGAATTACATTTCAATCTAGGTTCCTCATCTTGTGAGTCTTTATGGCTTATAGAGTTGTATAAACAATGGGTCACGCTGTTGTTTCCCATGACTGGTGTTATCACATGCAAACCTAGATGTTTACATGTGATGACACCAGTCGTTCGTTCTTCCTTCATTCATAACAGTAGCTGCCACTTCTCCCTCACGAGTGTTAAAGAGGGTAAAGGTTCTGCTATTACGTAATATAACTGTTATGTTATGTGAACCACCAAATTGTGCATCTTATCACATACCCCATTACTGAATGTGGCTTCCTTGCTTGCACATGTTTTTTCACTTCTGCCCACATACAGTATTTTCTGTTGGGCTGAGGTCAGGGCTTTGTGATGGCCACTCCAGTACCCGGACTTTGTTGTTCTTAAATCATTTTGCCACAACACTGGAAGTCTGCTTGGGGTCATTGTCCATTTGGAACCAAGTTTCAACTTCCTGGCTGATGTCTTGAGTTGCTGCTTCAATATGTCCACATCATCTTCCTTCCTCATGATGTCATCTATTTTGTGAAGTGCCACATCCCTCCTGCAGCAACCCCCACCCCCTATATGATGCTGCCACCCCCCTGTTTCACGGTTGGCATGGTCTTCATCGGCTTGCTAGCTTCCTCCTTTTTCCTCCAGACATAACAAGAGTCATTATGGCCAGATTGTTTCATTTTTGTCATCAGACCAGAGGACATTTCTTCAGAAAGTAAGCTCTTTTTCCCCACGTGCAGCTGCACTTTTGTATGGTGGTCTTGGGCGTAGTGTCTTCTTCTTTGCTGAACTGTCTTTCAGGTTATGTCTATATAGAAATCGTTTTACTGTGGATATAGATACTTTAGCACCTGCTTCCTCCAGTGTCTTCACAAGGTCCTTTACTGTTGTTGTAGGACTGATTTGTACTGTTTTTGTGGCTTCCTTGCTTGCACATGTTTTTTCACTTCTGCCCACATACAGTATTTTCTGTTGGGCTGAGGTCAGGGCTTTGTGATGGCCACTCCAGATGGCCACTTTGTTGTTCTTAAATCATTTTGCCACAACACTGGAAGTCTGCTTGGGGTCATTGTCCATTTGGAACCAAGTTTCAACTTCCTGGCTGATGTCTTGAGTTGCTGCTTCAATATGTCCACATCATCTTCCTTCCTCATGATGTCATCTATTTTGTGAAGTGCCACATCCCTCCTGCAGCAACCCCCACCCCCTATATGATGCTGCCACCCCCCTGTTTCACGGTTGGCATGGTCTTCATCGGCTTGCTAGCTTCCTCCTTTTTCCTCCAGACATAACAAGAGTCATTATGGCCAGATTGTTTCATTTTTGTCATCAGACCAGAGGACATTTCTTCAGAAAGTAAGCTCTTTTTCCCCACGTGCAGCTGCAAACCACAGTCTGTCTTTTGTATGGTGGTCTTGGGAGTAGTGGCTTCTTCTTTGCTGAACTGTCTTTCAGGTTATGTCTATATAGAAATCGTTTTACTGTGGATATAGATACTTTGGTACCTGCTTCCTCCAGTGTCTTCACAAGGTCCTTTACTGTTGTTGTAGGACTGATTTGTACTGTTTTGACCAAAGTATGTTCATCTCTAGGAGACGGGACACGTCTCCTTGAGTGGTATGCTGGCTGCGTTGACCCATGGTGTTTATACTTGTGTAGTATTGTTTCTACAGGTGAGCATGGTACCTTCAGATGAAATTTGTTCCCAAGGATAAACCAGACTTGTGGAGGTCCACAGTTTTTTTTTTTTCCTGAGGTCTTGGCTGATTTCTTTGGATTTTCCCATGATGTCAAACAAAGAGGTATTGAGTTTGAAGGTAGGCCTTAAAATGCATCCACAGCCTTGTTGTCTTGTTTGTGAGGTTGCACGTTGGATAATCTTGTGTAGCTGGTGTGAATCACACTTTCCTATACATAGATACACACCTCCTCCCTTCCCCACTCTGCCCACTCTTTGGGGTGCAAGTCGTGAGTTGCATTACCACTCCAGTCTGCTCGAGCCAGACAAGGAGGGCAGCTCTGTCCCTTTATGTCTTCATCTACACTCTTTTGTTGCATGACACTGTATTTAGTTACAACAAGTATTTGTGCACTCAGTTAAGCTCTTTGTCACCATTGTTCAACTCTGTGTGTTTGGGTATCCATGCACAAATACATGTATGCACCAACACTGCAGCACATTTGTATTGTATCTGCAGATATTAGTCAAGGCCAAATTATGTTTCATAGCAAGAACAAGCTGTGTTTCATAAAAGAAGCCTTAGTGTCTCCTCTGCTGCAGACACACAGGTGGATGAACAATGGTGTGTGTGATCATATGTTCTCACAGTTTTGTGTGTCTGGATTATCATCATTTATCAATAAAACATTCCCTTGTTCATCTCCTCCTCCTCCTCCTCCTCTCTCTTTCCACTTTATCTTCACACGGTCCCTGACAGATGCCGCCTTCTCTTTTCATCTCACTGGCTCTCAACCCTCCTCCGCTCTTACCCTCTTTCTCCCCTCTTTTTGCTCTGTATCTCTGAGGTTTCTGGTCTACCTCACACAGGCCGTCTGCAGCTGGGGGTGGTGTTACATAACAGGTCTAACTTAATAAATCCTGCATGATGTTCTTTGATATGGTTTGATCTGTTGTGACAGCAGAGCTGGAGAACACGCTGCCTTCCTGGGCCTACGCCATAGTGTGTAGTGAAAAAAGTAAAGCTCAAGAAATAAAACCAGTGTTATGATAAGTACGTTGCATAAAAGAAATAAAGGAGGACTGATAGGGAGTTGGCAGATGGTTGTACATTCCTTGTTTACTTGTTTTCCACTTTTGGTTTAAATTTCCCTATAAAAAAGACATTTTGAGCAAGATCGGTCTGTCTTTATCTAAGCCTGCAGTGATTGGCCTTGAAGCTGAGGTGGATTGTGGGTAAGGTCTGAGCCAGCTGTGCAAAGAAGTTGTTTTAAAATTGGTTCATACTAGACACAGTAATGTTTTTAAGCAAAATGCCAGTCAATCAATTAATAACTGGTAAGTGCTTCTTAAATGTGAATATTATTAAGTTTCCGTGTTCTGTGATGGTAAACTCAACATTTGGGAGATTTTGACTACTGAACAGACAAAACAAAGCAGTTACCTAATTAGTTGGGCTTTGTGGAATAATGATGGGCCTTTTCACTGTTTACATTATTAAATAAAATAAGTGCCAGATATAGAAGTTTAATATAGGTGATAAAAATATGTGTTGGTTGCAGCCTTACAATACATCTGGGACAATAATTCATTCCCTGTAGTTTTCTTTGTGTCAATAGTGTGACACAAAGCAAAAAGGGAGGATGAAATACAGGATTACAACTGCCTGCAATAACAACTAAAACAGCTGAGGTCTTAACACTAGATTCTGACAAAGGTTTTTATCAAGATAAGGCTACAAAGAGGAACATACAGAGAAGCATCTTCAGTGATGCAAATTTCTATCAAGGATCTAATTAATCCAGCTCTGGATCTAGCATATCTAGCTACTACATGTACTGTATGTATAGACACACAGTGGCAAACACAGATACATGATTTCCATGTGGTCTTTCTAAAGAGTCCACTCAACACAGGAATGCTGTGAAAATATGAACTAATAGTCATGGCAGGATTGGGATGACTGATATGTTATCTGCATGACACAGCAGGGAGATAAGAATGTAAAGTCCTCCTTTACTGACTGTAGGGAGTTGTTTTTGAGTCAGTCGCGACTGGCAGAGAGACAACACGGCAAGTAGAAGTGCTACAGCAGGAAGGTGACTTACAGCATACACAAACCTAAGTACCCACTAAGTTGTATGCGATGTATTACTGATGAAAATACTCCTCTGTTCCTTTCTACTCACAGAGAGACACATGGGGGCTCCCACATAAAGTCACACACATAAACACACACATGGTTAGCAAACACAAGCGCACCCACCGAAAAAAGTCCCCAGATACAGATGTAAATGTCAGCTCTATTTGCTCTCTTCATCCTCCCTCACCAGTATTTGGCCTAAAATGAGGCAGTTAGTTATTTCCCCCACATGGCCGAGAGATGATTGGCTGCTGAAACTTGATGTGCTGT